AATTTGAAAAGTGAAAAATTTCCTAAATGTAAGGGATTATTAACTTTAACCTTGATGAGTTAACAGTTTCTGCAATTTCATGTGGACACTTTAGCTGAGACAGAGAAATTCCTCCCTTCCTTTGTCTGAAGTTTATCTTCAAACTTCTGTGAGTGCATTTGGTGACTTCCATCCTATAATTTTAGTGTGCACAATTGTCTTAGTTCATTTTCTGTTGCTATTACTAAATACCACAGACAAGGTAAATTATAAAGAGTAGTTGTTTTTTTTCAGCTCATATTTCTGGGAATACAATGATGAAGTGCTTCAAATGGGAAAGTTCTTTTTTTTTTTTTGGGAGCCTCTTTGTAGATTCTCAAAGTGGTGTAGGGCATCACAGGGTGAGACAGAATGTACTAGGTCAGGTCTCTCTGCCCCTTTGTTTAAAAGCAGAGTCCCATTTTTTACAATTCTACTCCTGTTATCTCATTTAACCTTAATTACCTCCATCCCATACTAAGATTAAATTTCCATCCTCTTAATAACTCACAATAGGGATTAAATTTCAACATGAGTTTTGGTGGGGCTTATGAACCATAACCATGACTGTACAAATTATTTTCCTGTACACTATAAAAACATAATTGAAATGCTCATTAAATAGTGCTCCTAGGGCTCAGGCTAATGCCTGAGGCAATGTTTCCAAATGTGAATTTTTGGAACAGGATTTGAATGTAATAAAATGACAGGAAGAAGTTCACCAATCCCCTATCACATGTTCTTCTGTAGATTTAAGGAAATGTCTGATGTGAACTAATAACAGAGCATCTGGGCAGCAGCATATGGAATGAAGCGTGTTCTACCAAGGTGAATTCACTGTTCCAGAGTGTCTTGACATATTTGTTTAGATTTATTCACATGGAAGAAATGTCATTAAATAATGCACAATTGAATGATATAGGCCTTTAGGGCACTTGTGGAAAGGCAACTTCCCAAAATTGATGGGCCAGAAGCACATAAGTGGAAGCTGCAGATAATTGGCTAGAGAAGAAAGAGAAGATCATGAGGCCTTATAAATCACATGAAGCCTATGGAATTCAGCCTTTGAGTGAATGAGCCAGATTTCTGTTTTAGAGAGATCATTATGGCAACAGTGTAGAGGAGGAAAGACTTCAGGCCTTATGTCCTGCTGGGAACCTGGTTTGTGTTTAGGTAAGAAGATGGGGACCTGTCAGCAGTGTCAGTTTTAGAGAAGAGAACACAATTTCAAAAATATTAAATCAATCAGTCAACAAATAGTATCTACTAGGAGCCAGCAATAATTCTGTTCCTTAAGAGGTAAAATCCAAAGCACTTGGTACTTGACTAGATATATTTGTTGAACAGAGTTAATAACAATCTGCTTGGGGAAGAGGAGAAGGCAGGAAGCTCCTTTTAGCTCAACAGTTTTGTAGAGCCAGTTTTGAGAGGCAGACATGGAAGAAAAAGGATGAAACTGGCTCAGCAGACCAAACAAAATGATCCAAGGCCTGGGTGCTCCAGGTCAGAGCCTGTGAAGCGAAGCCAGCTTATTTAATTTAGCACTGGTGTCCACTTGTGGTAATGGAAGATTGAGCTCATGTCAAGGAATACACTGGGAAGAACTTAAAAGGACAAGATAAATTCTTTGGGTTTTATCCTGAATGCAATGAATGGTCACTGGAACATTTCACAGGAAAATTTAAAGTTGAGATGAAGAATATGTACTACAGGGAGAATCTAGTCTTAGAATATAGTTGGGTGCTTCATTTAAATATAAATTTCATCCCATATCAGTTATCTATTGATCCTTCTCCATATTTAGGTTATTTTGGAAGATTGCATCAAAATTTTTATGATTCACCCAGGGTATTATTATCTGGAATAGTGATTTTATATGGTTCTAGGATGCCAATTTTTCTTCTGTGTTAAGGATTTCAAATGAATTTATTAGTTCAGTTGTTCTGAATTATCATGTTATATTATTTTATGTCTCTGCAAATGTATATTACACATCCAATATTGGTTACACCCCAAATAAATCATTTGCATTAAATCAAACATTTCATTATTCTTCCTCATTTAAAAACATAAAGAAGGTATTTAATTAAAAAAAAACATTGCCAATTTCAGATCTTTCTTGTCTTTTAATTTGCAGTTTACACATTCCTACAAAAAGGTCAATTCATTTCTATGCTATTATAACTAATAATTTAAAAACATCTGAGGACCATTTTTTAAGACTAATATTGAAAAAACTTGTTTATTTCTATTCAATTTCTATCTAATGCTTTTTGAATGTTCTCCTGAATGCTGTGGGGGCTCTTCCTTTAAGCAATAGCATAAATTGTCTTTTACAGAACTACTGCCTCTAGAAAACCTTCAAGGATTAATTTTTCACTCTTTTCCCCCTTATTCAGTGTCACTTCAGAATCTAATAATTTTGTGTTTTTCTAAGTTGCACATATTATTTAGAAACAAAAGCAACAGTAGCATCTGTTTATCAGACTTTAAGAATAATCCTCCCTCTGCCACAGAACTGCAAATACACATAGGACTCAATCACTAATGACTGCAAAGGGTAATAGCTTAGATAAACATATGGCAATTTACTAGACTGGATGTTCTTTCTGGGTAAAAATATCCTGCCATTTATATTGAGTCCATTATAAAATATAAAAAGAAACATTCTGTACACTTCTCATGCTCTCCACAAAGTTCAAAGCCAAACAAAGCCCAAAGGTCAAAATAGATTTTAGAAGAAAAGTGAAAGAAGAGAAATACTTTGGTTACCAAGGGACAAACATTTGTACCCTGAATGGAGAGAAAGAACTCAAAGGGTGAAAAGATGGTCACTCCTTTGCATTCTCCCCAGGGCTGAATATTTGCTGTTCCTGAATATGGTAGAAAAACAGGTACTTATTAAATAAGGCAGTTTCCTTTGTGTCCAAAGAAAGACAAAGTCAGAAATGCTAAGTAGGCAGGG